AAAAAAAACTGGGTCTTTTAGGATAGTTAGGATATGTTAATTTGTTTATACGATACAAATGTATGGACCTAAAAAGTTTGTGACATCTGCATATGTTAGGTGGCAAGGTTTTGCTCCTTGTGCTTTTCAATTGGGTAAAGGAAAACACATGAGATTTGTCCTTCTTTTTTGTTTAAATAAATCGAAATAAAATAATCTTTCCGTTGTTTATTATAAATTTGTAATATAAAATATTGTCGTGTTCTAGTAAGTCATCTACTAGTTATGAAAATAAACACGAAGGCACTGGCCCTTTGAATACTGCACTAACATTGAACGTGATCACAGTGTCTAGTAAACAAGTTACAAATAATATTTTTCAAGACGTGTCCCGTAGAATTAGATAATAGCACAAAAAATAGGAAGTTGAGACTTCATTTAAGTCCACGAGATCACAGTCAACTACACTTAGGGCATACTAGGAACTTAAATACGGATACGTACGAGATTCCTCGTAAAGCATTTAGATAGATACATAGCGACAAGAATGAGTGGTGGGGAGCATCGTCGAACATGGGATCCCCCTATTTCTTAAGGAAGTTGGCCCAAAAAATAATGCTTAAGGTGGATTTTGTTGTCTGATCTTGAGTGATATATGGTTTGATTGCGTCCTTTCTTAATGATAGCTTTTGAAAAAAGTGGTTGAATCTTTCTACAATAATTGGTATCAGAGCCGAAAACCCCATGTTTGATCCAAGATGGGAGAATGATGTTGAGCATCACTGAACATAAGCGTGGGTCTATTTGGCTATTTTGTAAAGGGGTTAGCTACAAACAAGTAGTGCTTCGGGTGAATTTATGGGTTTTATCCTAGGTGACAAATAGTTTAACTACGCATGTCCTATCTAATCTAGCTTTTCAAAAATGTGATCACATCTCCATATATCAACGTGGCTACGGATATGCCAGAGATGGATGATTACTCAGATACGGATACATATATTTGATGTCTCGAAAGTCGTGGACTTTTGTTGAGTTCAAAGAGTATCAGATTGATATCGAGAAACATCTTGAAAGAAGTATGAGGTTCAACAGCATAATCTCTTTAGAGAGGAGAAATATTACCAATTTCAACTTCTAAAACTTCAGGCCAAGCAATTTTGTCTTACGAAAATAGAGTAATTTTATTTTATGAAAATTTCAGTTTATATTAACCNCGAAAATAGAGTAATTTTATTTTATGAAAATTTCAGTTTATATTAACCATTATTGCACTCCCAGTCATCCCCTTTCAATTTCAACTTCTACAATTTTTTTATTTTTTTTCATTGTTTTCAGAAATCAGTACAAGGATTAACAGTACATTTCGTATTCAATCATTTTAATTATTTTTGACCACCCAATTTAGGATGAAGGACATAAATTACACTGTC